CTTCCTCCCTCCTCCTCCTCCTCCTCTTCCCCTCCTCGTCCTTGTCCTTCTTCTCCTGATCTTCCTCATCTTCCTCCTCCTCCTCCGCCTCCTCCTCCTGTCCTCCTCCTCCCGCCTCCTCCTCCTTTTCATCCGCCTCCGCCTCCTCCTCGTCTTCCTCCTCCTCCTCTTCCTCCTCTCCTCCCCCTCCTCCTCCTCCTCCTCTCCCTCCTCCTCATCCTCCTCATCCTTCTCCTCCTCCTCATATTCCTTGTCCTCCTCCTCCTCCTCCTCCCTCCTCCTCCTCCTCCTCTCCTCCTCCTCATCCTCCTCATCCTCTCTCCTCCTCCTCCTCCTCCTCCTCCCCCACTCTCCTCATCCTCCGCGTCAGCTTCCTCATCATCATCCTCATCGTCCGCATCATCCTTTTCCTCCTCCTCCTCCTCCTCCTCCTCCTCCTCCTCCTCCTCCTCCTCCTCCTCTCCTCCTCCTCCTCCTCCTCCTCATCCTCCTCCTCCTCTTCCCCCTCCTCATCCTCCTCCTCCTCCTCCTCCTCCTCCTCCTCCTCCTCTCCTCCTCCTCCTCCTCCTCCTCCTCCTCCTCCTCCTCCTCCTCCTCCTCCCCCTCCCCTCCTCCTCCTCCTCCTCCTCCTCCTCCTCCGCATCCTCATGTTTCTCATTCTTCGTCTTTTCTTTCTCCTCATCCTTCTTATCCTCCTTCTCATCCTTCTCCTCCTCCTGCCCCTCCCCCACCCCCTTCGCCCCACCACCTCATCCTCCGCCTACACCTCCTCCTCCTATTCCGCATCATAGCCTGGCTCCTCCTCATCAGCCTCCTTTTCATACTCCTCTTTATCCGCCTCATCTTCCAAGTCATCCTGCTCCTCCTCGTCCGTCTACTCATATTCTTGATCATCATGATCATCAGCATCATCATCATCATCATCATCATCATCATCATCATCATGATCATCATCATCATCATCAGCATCATCATCATCATCATCATCATTATCATCATCATCAGCATCAGCATCAGCATCAGCATCATCATAATCATCATCATCGTCAGCATCATCATCATCATCATCATCATCATCAGCAGCAGCAGCGGCGGCAGCATCATCATCAGCATCAGCATCCTCTTCCTCCTCCTCCTCATCCTCCTCCTCCTCTTTTTGTTCCGCCTCCTCCGCCTCCTCGTGTTCCTCCTCCTCCGCTTCCTCCTCCTCCTTCTCCTCCTCGTCCTCCTCCTCCGCCGCCTCCTCCTCCTCCTCCCCCGTCCCCTCCCCCTCTCCCATCCCCCTCTCCCTACTCCTCCTCATCCGCATGCTCCCTCCTCCTCCTCCTCCTCCTCCTCCTCCTCCTCCTCCTCCTCTCCTCGTCTCCTCCTCCTCCTCCTCCTCCTCCTCCTCCTCCTCCTCCCCCGCCTCCTCCTCCTCTCTCCCTCCTCCTCATCCTCCTCATCCTTCTCCTCCTCCTCCTCCTCCTCCTCGTCCTCCCCCTCCTCCTCCTACCCACCTCCGCCTCCTCCCTCCTCCTCCTCCTCCTCCTCCTCCTCCTCCTCCTCCTCCTCCTCCTCCTCCTCCTCATCCTCATCATCCTCCTCCTCATCCTCATCGTCATCCGCCTTTCTTCCTCCTTATCCTCCTCCTCCTTCGCCTACCTCTCCTCCTCCTCCTCCTCTTCTCCTCTTCCGTCTCCTCATCCTCCTCCTCCTCCTCCTCCTCCTCCTCCTCCTCCTCCTCATCATCATCATCATCTCATCATCATCATCACATCAGCATCATCCTCATCCTCATCCTCATCCTCATCCTCATCCTCGTCCTCCTCCTCCTCCTCCTCCTCCTCCTCCTCCTCCTCCTCCCCCTGCTCCCCTGCTCCCCCTCCTCCTCTGCCACATCCTTCTATTGTTCCTCTTCCTCCTCCTCTTCCTCCTCCTCATCCTCCGCCTCCTCCTCCTCCTCTTCCTCCTCCTCCCCCTCCTCCTCCTTCTCCTCCTCCTCCTCCTCCTCCTCCTCCTCCTCCTCCTCCTCCTCCTCCTCCTCCTCCTCATCCTCCTCCTCCTCCCCCTCCTCCTCCTCCTCCTCCTCCTCCTCCTCCTCCGCCTCCGCCTCCGCCTTCTCCCCCCCGCCTCCTCCTCAGCTTGCTCCTCCCCATTATCATTCTCATCTTACTCATCTTTCTCCTCCTCATCATCATCAGCAGCAGTATCATCAGCGGCATCATCATCATCATCATCATCATCCTTCCCATCCTCCTCATACTCCTCCTCCTCCGCCTTTCCCTCCTCATCCTCATCATCAGAATCATCATCGTCAGCATCATCTTCATCATTATCAGCATCATCGCCATCATCAGCATCATCGGCAGCAGCAGTATCATCATCATAATCCGCCTCCTCCTCTCTTCCTCCTTCTCCTCCTCATCCTCATCCTCCTCCTCTTCCCCCATATATTCCTTCTCCTTCTCCGCCTCCTCCTCCTCCTCATCATCCTCCTCCTCCTCCCCTCCTCCGCCTCCTCCTCCTCTTCATCCTCCTCTTCCGTAGCCATTTTGGCTCAAGATTCAATGCTCGGGGGGCTTTCTGCCTCCAGGCCTGAACGGGATAGCTCTGTTTCCCGAGGTTGCTATGAGGAGATTTCAGGGGAGCCGTTCCCTGTCGTCCGCGCGGCAGTTCGAGCCCCTTTATCGCACCGCGGCGCAGTCATGGGGGCAGGCCAGAAGGCGCGGCAGCGCGCGGCTTTCATCTCGTGCAAGAGCTGCGGATATTCATGAAACTTCGCGAAGAACGACTGGTGCTACTCGTGCCGCTGCCCGCTCAAGCCGCTGCAGGTGGACGCGCCGCCTCCTGGTAGAGTGCGGGCGAACGGCGCGGGCGCGGCGTCGAGCACCAAGGATGAGGGCGCGATTGCGGGCATCAAGGGCAACCGCGGTCGTCCAAGGGGGGCTGGCGGCCCGCCTGCCAAGGGCACTGGCGGCAAGAGCGGCTCCTCGTCCACGCCCCCGCCGTGGCAGGCCGACCGCAGCGTCATGGAGCAGGTCATGAGTGTCGTCAGCGTGCTGGGGCTGGAGGTGGACGCCGGCAAGCTCCAGGCCCTGGAGGCGGTTGCGGCAGCCCTCGAGCCGCCGCCTGCCGCGCCGCCCGAGCGCACGCCCTCGCAGCGCCTGCAGTCCGCCATCGGCCGCGAGGACCATGCTATCCGCATGACGGAGTGGGCGCGCTGCAAGCACTTCGAGCTCGAGCAGCAGCTCGTGGAGGCGCGCGCCGAGCTGGATGCCGCCTGCCTCGCTGCGGCCAAGGCTCGGGAGGAGAAGCGGGCGGCCATGAAGGCCCAGCTCCCCGAGGAGCCCGCGCCTCGGCCCGCGACGGCGAACACGCTGGTGTGGGAGGCGGTCGCGCTCGATGACCTCAGGCCAAGGCCGCGCTCCTGGCCGAGCAGGAGGCGTCCTGGGCGCAGGCTCAGGAGGCAAAGCGCAGCCGTGACGCTCGCATCGCCGAGTGGATGCAGCGTAAGCAGCAGGCTCGTGAGGAGGTCCGCAAGAAGCGGCGGCTGGAGGCGCAGCCCGCGGACGGCGCCGGCGCGTCTGGAGCGCCTCCCGCCGAGGCCCCGGCCCCCGCGCCCGCTGGCCAGGGCGAGCCCCCGGCAGCAGGGGCAGCGGGCGCGGCCGCGGGCAGCTCTGCTGCTGCCGGTGGCGAATCGGCGCCGGCGGCTGCCGCAGCCCCCGCCGCTGCCTCCGATACCGATTCGCGCCTCCGCGCGATCGCCAGGGAGATGGCTGAGTCCCAGATCGCCCAGGATCGGGCGCTGCGCGGCAGTGCTGGGGCGGCTGCCGCGTCTGCTCCTTCACCTGGGTAGCCTGCCCGCGGTGGCGGCGGCACCACCAGAGGAGCCCGCGGCGGCCCCCCGGGCAGGGGGAGCATGCACGAGCCCTGCTTCCCAAGCGTTGCGTTTGGCGGGGCCGTTCCACCTGCCCAACTACGTTTCGCCCCAGTCGGGACAGGTTTGCCGCGTCGACCTTCCACAGCTCGCGTCGACGCCGAGGTTCCCACAGCTTGCGTCGACGCTGAGCTTCCCACAGCTTGCGTCGACGCTGAGCTTCCCACAGCTCGCGTCGGCGCTGCGGTTCCCACAGCTGGCGTCGACGCTGGGGTCCCCACAGCGCGCGTCGACGCTGAGGTTCCCACAGCTTGCGTCGACGCTGAGGTTCCCACAGCTTGCGTCGACGCTGAGGTTCCCACAGCTTGCGTCGATGCCGTGGTTCCCAGCGCCCTCGCCGGGGCTAGCGGCGAGGCATTCGCACCTCATCGTACGGCACATGGCGGCCATGCCACCACCGTGGACTGCGAAGAAACGGACCCGTTCGTTCTGTTCGACGGCGACGACGGCGCGGCCAACGACGATGCTTGTGCGTCGGGAGCTGGCGGCAGTGTTATTCAGCACGTTGGCCCCCCTGATGAAGGGGGCTCCTCCACGGGGGGCGGCGCCCGCGGAAGCGGAGGTGCTTCGGGGTGCGAGCTGAGGGCCGCGCACGCGCGGGTGGTCGAAGCCCTTCACTGCGCCCCGCTCGCTGCCGAGGCCGCCGACGGGCGGGTGGCCGAGACCCTCGGCAGCTCGAGCGAGCCCCCCGCTTGGGGGCGACGTGGACCTGCGCGCCGCAGGACCTCGACTGTGTTTTTTGGCAACATCACGGAGTGAAGCCCAATGGCCCTCGGCTTCTTGCGAGGCCAGGGCATGCAATGCGATGCGGCGTGCTACGCTGAGATGAATACCAAGGCCGAGGCCTCGCGCCAACTCCAGGCGGAGGTCGCCAAGGACGGCTGGCGAGCGTCGGTGGCGCCTGCCATAGCCTCGGTCAAGTCGGCCTCGTGCTCTCGACTTCGCGCCCCGCCACCTCGCGGCGAGCCCGTGGGGGAGAATGTTGCCGAGCTCGCAGCGCAGTGGCTTCGCACCCGTCGCTTTGCACCTGCAGCGTGGGAACGTCGCGGTGATCTCGACGTAGATGTTCCCTGGGGACCAGCTCGGGGGTGCCAACACGGCCCGGCTGCGATCGCCGGGCCGCTTTGTGCGCACGCTGGCGGACCCTTGGATCATCGTTGACGACTGGAACGCCGGCGCGGCGCAGCTGGAGGCTTCAGACTTCCTCCAGTTCTTCGATGGCGTGGTCAAGGTGCCCGACGCGGAGGCCACGTGCACGACAGCCGCGGGCACCTCGCGGATCGACCACCCGGTGATCAAGAGGGGATTCGAACAGTTCGTGTCTGCGCGGGCCAACGGCCAGGTCCCCGCGGCCTCGAGCTGGAGATTGACAGCGGCCATGAGGCTCGGTGGCACCAGGTCCCTCTCGGCGCCGCAGGGCCCCCCGGCCCGCCCGCGGCCTTTGCGCCAGCCGCAGACGGACAGCAAGCGCTCTCGCAGATTGGCTGAGCAGGGGGAGCGCCGCCGCGAGTCGGCTGCGCGAGGCCTTCGACGACATGGCTGGCGATCTTGCCGGCGCGCAGCCTGTCGTGCAGACGGAGCGCGCGCCCTTCCACATCGGTCAGGATGTTTGGGAGGTTGCGGAGGCCTCGGTGCGCGCTCGCGCGCTGCTGACCGCCGGCGCGCACGGCGACGCGCGGGCGGTTCCTGGCGGCGACGGCCTAGCACGGATCTCCCAGCGCTACGCCGCGTGGGTCAGCACGGTGGAGGAGACGTTGCTCCAGGCCGAGCAGGCTGATGACTCCGCGCGTCGCCATTGCCGAGGGCGCGCAGAGGTCCCGAGCCTGGTCTGGGCGCGCCTCAAGCCCTCCCCAGGCCGCGCCCACATGCGCTCCCCTGTCACGGAGTGGCGGCGGGCACTGGAGACACTCGTCGTGAAGCTTCTCGCCCTCAAGCGCCACGGCGCCGACGAGGCGCAGCAGGACACTACCATCGCGACCATCGACCGCATGGTGGGCGAGGGCATGGACCAGCCACGTGAGCACATCTTCGGGAGGAACGCGACCTCCGACGTGATCGAGCAGTGGCAGCTGCTGCTCCACGTGGCGACCAGGCCCGACGCCGACGTGGAGGACCTCGAGCTGGCGGCGCAGCAGACGCAGGAGCGGGCGCAGCGGGCTTTTGCCCGCAGCCTGGCGGCGGCCGGGCAGGCCTTCGTCCGCTGGGCTCAGGATTGCCGGCGCAAGACTCCCGGCGCTGTCCACCGACACGCGAAGGGCGTCAGCGCCGACCTAGGGCCCCCGACGGCGCCATGGCGGCGAAGGTGGCGCAATGGGAGCCGAGATGGAAGGACTCGTCGCGCTCCCGCGGCGACCTGTTGCAGGGCGTGGCTGCCCTCCGCGCAGCGGCGTCGTCTGAGCCGCTGCAGCCGCTGGTTCTCGAACGTGTTGACGGCATCCTTCAGCGACTTTCTGGGTCGAAGGCGAATGGCTGCGACACGTTGTCGCCGCTCGATCTGCAAAGGCTTCCCACGGAGGGCCGCCAGCAGTATGTCGACCTTCTCAACGAGGTGGAGGCTCTCGGCACCTGGCCCGAGCAGGCACTGTTGACTGCGTGCTGCACCATCCCGAAGTCCGCCGGCGGCGATCGAGTGATCGGCCTCTTGCCGACGGTCGCGGGCGCTCGGTCCCGAGCGCGCGCTAGCATCGCAGACCGCTGGTCTGAAGCGCTCGCGGAGAATTTGGGACACTGCTGCGAAAAATGGTTCAGCTCTTCGCGCAGCGCTCGTTCGAGCAGTCATGGATGAGAGCGCAGTCTCCCTAGGGTTCGTGGCGGCGTCATTTCTTCTCGATCTCGAGAAGTTTCACGATAATGTGAACTTGCTGAGGCTGATGGAAGCCTCGATGGCCCAGGGTTTTCCCCCTGCGGTGACCCTCCTGGAGGTCCAGTTTGTTCTGGCCCCGTGGGTTCTGAAGTGCAGGACCACGCGCAGTGATTTGATTTTTCCTGGGCGCTCGATCGTTGCGGGTTCGGGGCACGGGGTGACATTGGCCAAAGTTTTTCTCGGGCCGACCCTCCAGGCCGCGCACGATCGAGCGATTGTTCCGACGGCTACCCCATTGGGTTGTGGACGTTCGCGGGCGACACGGTCGTCCGCAGTGAGAGGGATCTGTCGACTGCCCGACAGCAGTTGCGCGCCGTGGGGGCCCAGTCGGCGACCTCGCTCGTCGAGGCCCGGCTGCCGATTTCAGAAACGACAATTGTCACTGCCTCACCTCCTCTCGGCCTTCTCCTTGGCCGTGATTTGAAGGAGGTTGGCTTGCCGTTGCAGTCGATGTCGGGTGGGATACGGCCGGCGGCGCGAGGCGCGCGGCAAAAAAAACTGCTCGAAAGGAGAGCCAAGGGCCGCCTTCGAGCTGGTAGGATCCATCGGCTCCGCAGGCATGCGAAGCTCTATGTAATTTCCAAGGGCGCGTTCCTCCAGGGAGCCCCCCCCCAGTCCTCCTACGGGCGCCCTGTGACGGGCACCCCTCCCTCCACTATCACCGTCTTGCGTCGGCAAGCTGCTACTGCTGCCGTGGCCGGTAAAGGGCCTGGGCGGTGCTTCACGACGACATTGTTTGTGTGGCTCGGGGATCAAGACCCGGCGATTTCGTCGCGCATTCAGTTGTTCCAGGCGTGGTTCGACGCGTGGACCACAACGCCTGCGCTCCACCAGCGCGTTGGTCAGGCTTGGTCCCGCATCTGCGCGTGCCTCGGCCGCATCCCAAATCTGAGGTGGAGGCGCGCTCGAGGGCCTATCGGAGCCGTCCAGGCCACCGTCCTCGACTTGGGCTGGCAGCCCGTCACCGCCACGGAGTGGCGAAGGCCAGTGGGCGATGCTTGGGATCTGCGGTAATTCCCCGACCCGCCCCCTGAGGAGAGGAGCCCCGATGATGTTTTTGATTTTTCGGAGTTGCTGGAGGACCTCCGCGAAGATCTCGCCTCGTCACTGTGGGCCTCGGCTGCTTCTCACCCATTCGGCGAGTCTCTGGCCAGTGCGGCCGATGTCGTCCCCGTCCGTCTCGAGCTCGCGCGAGTCCGATCGGGCTCGCACGATGAGGTCGGCCAGCTGGTCACTGTAATTTCGGGGGGGCAGTGGCCGCAGCAGCGGCAGATTGAGGCGGGTTACAACGCCTCGCCGCTCTGCCCTCGGTGCGGGTCAGCCCCGGAAACTTTACTTCCCCGAATTTGGGGATGCCCCTGCAGTTAGGGGCCGGCTTACGAAGCCTCCGATTTTTTGATTGCGCAGGCCATGGCGGGCCAGGAGCAGACTCCCTCGCTCCGGCTTCGGGGCCTGCCCCCATCCTGCCTCACCACTCCTTCCTTCTCGGTTGGCGGGGGTGGCGGGGCGGCGTGGACGACGGGGGAGGAGGGTGGCGACTCTGAGCAGCCGCTCGAGGCCAACAGCATGGCCGGATGCTGGCACTTCGGCTCCCTACTGGTTGTCTTCGTAGATGGTTCCAGAGGACAGTTCAGTAGCGACGTGCGTCGCCGACGCGTCGGCGCGGCCGCGGTGGTGATGATCGTCACGCCGAGTGGTCTGCGCCGTGCCGCAGGCGTGGCCTGCGGGATGGACGGTCGGCGCCAAACGGTCCCCCGGGCAGAGCTCCGCGCCTTTGCGCTGGCGCTCTCTTCGTTCTCGTCGGGGCCCCTGCTTTACGTGACTGATTATTCGATGCTCCTGCGCGGATGGGAGCAGGGCCTCCACCGCAGCGGGGGAGGCGTTGGCGGCAACGCCCACATGTGGCGCCTAATTCGGGACGCTTTCGCCGCACGAGTCGGCGAGGTCCGCGTGGTCTGGGCGCCGAGCCACGTCGATCCTGCCGACCCGTCCCTGTCCGACTGGGACAGGATGATGGCTGAGGGCAACGGGGCGGCCGATGCCTTGGCCAGCGACGCTGCCCGCCGATCGTGGTCGGCGGCCCTCTTGGGTAGGGCTCCCGACACTGACGTTTGGGACTGCACGGCGGCGCCCGTGCGCCGCCGCGCCCGGCAGGCCTTCGTCGACGCGACGCTCGCCGCGCCTCGAACGGCCGAGCGGCCCGCCGTCGCCACGCGCCCCGCCGAGCCTGCCCTCCAGCAGGCACTCGCAACCTCTAGCCATTGCTTCGTCAAGGCCGCTCGCCACTGGGCTTGTGCCCTTTGTCACCAGCTTGCGCTGGGCTCGCATGGAGGCGGCGCGCGCCACGCCGCGCCGTTCGGCGGGAGGCGCTGGCGAGACTCACGTGGCCGATGTCATAGGGGCGGCGGGGGCTGAGGTGTGGGTGGGGGGCATTCAACTTCATTCGTCCCACCGGCTGCAGCTGTGGCCGCGCCACATTTTGTATTTCTGCACTCGGCGCGGGCGCGCGGCCACGACCGATCCCCGACACCGTGCGTCGAGGCCACCCGCAAGGGGCGCGAAAACCTGGCGTGGATCCAAAAGGGGCTGCACCCAGGTAGACGCGTTCCTGCGGCAGCTGCTGCCTGCGACCTGGAGCGAGTGAGGAGAGAGGAGGCTCTCCGTCACCCCCTCTGGTCTGCTGCGTCCGTCCCCTTCGGACTTGCCGTAGGTAGGCCCCCACCTGTTGTGGGTGTCAGGCAATTCCGAGGCAATTCCTCCTCCTCCTCCTCCTCCTCCTCCTCCTCCTCCTCCTCATCCTCCTCTCCCTCCTCGTCCTCCTCCTCCTCCTCCTCCGCCTCCTCCTCCTCCTCCTCTTCCTCCTCCTCCTCCTCCTCCGCCTCCTCCTTATCCTCTTCCTCCTACTC